AAAAAGAATCTAGACACAGTCCTTACACCTTTCACAAAAATTAGCTCAAAATGGATCTTAGACCTAAGTGTAAAATGCAGAACTATAAAACTTCTAGAAGATAACATGGGAGAAGACCTGACTGACCTTGGGTTTGGCAATGAGTTTTTAAATCTAATACTAAAAGCACAATCCATGAAAGAAAAAAATGGATAAGTTGGGCTTCATTAAAATTAAAAACTTTTGCTCTGCAAAAGAAACTGTTCAGGGAGTAAAGAGACAAGCCACAGACTCAGAGAAAATATTTACAAAACATATATCTGATAAAGGGTTTGCATCTAAAATAAACAAATAACTCTTAAACCTCAACAATAAGAAAACAAACACCCCAATTAAAAGTGGGCAAAATACATGAACAGAACAAAGAGCAAAGAAAATATACAAATGACAAATGAGCATATGAAAAGATATTCAACATCATGTGTAATTAGGGAATTGCAAATTAAAATAACAAAGAACAAAAATAAACTTAAAAAAAGAAACAGAAAAAAAAATGAGCTGCAACTACATACCTATTAGAATGGCTAAAATCCACAAACTGACAACATCAAATGCTGAGGAGAATGCAGAGCAACAGGAATGCTCATTCATTGCTAGTGAGAATGCAAAATGGCACCAGTTTGGAGAACAGTTTGGCAGTTTCTTACAAAGTTAAACATAGACTTATCATACTACCCAACTCAGTTGAAAACTTACGTCCATACCAAAAAGCACATGGCAAAAACGAAAAGAAATCAAATTGTCCTTCTATAGATGAAGAGGCAAACAAACCGTGGTACATTCATACAATAGAATATGATTCAGTGATAAGAAGAAATGAGCTATTAAGCCACGAAAAGACATAGATGAATTTTAAGCACATATTGCTAAGTGAAAGAAGCCAGTCTGAAAAGCTACATACTGTATGATTCCCAGCATGTGATATTTTGGAAAAGGCAAAACTATTACAGAGACAATAAAAGATCAGTGATTGCGCCGGGTTCAGGGTAAGGGAGGAAAGGGATAAATAGGTAAAACATGGAGATTTTGAGGGCGGCGAAATTATCAAATATGATACTGTAATGCTGGATACATATCATGCATTTGTCAAAACCCATAAAACTGAATAATACAAAGAGTGAATCCTAATGTAAACTATGAGTTTTAATTAATAATATTGTATCAATATTGATTTATTATTTGTAACAAATGTACCGCATTAATGCAAGATGTTAGTAATAGGGGAAACTTGTACCAGCGGCAGGAAGGATGTGGGGGCCATGGATATATGGAACTCTATGCTCAGTTATTCTGTCAATTTAAAACTAATTTTTTGAAGTGTGAATAACCCTGTAGTTGGTCATTATGAAGGGTTTTTTTTTGTCAAAAGATTGGAAGAGACAACATGTTTATTTAAATTTTTAATTTGATATATAACTTTTAAATACTGATATATATGGTATGTGGCCTGTATTTGCATTCTTGCTTTAGGTGGTCTTAGGTTGTGTTGATGGTCTTCTTGAAGAAATGCAAGTTTGGAAGACTTGTTCCACCAGAGGAATATAAACTAGGGCAATGTGGTAATAGTGCAGGGATGAATAAGCAAATAAATGAAGTTGAATGGAAAGTACAGCAGTATGTCCAACACGGACCCTTGACCTATGAACGAGGTGTTATTACAGAGCAATGGGGAAGGTAAGCCTTTTCAATAAATGGCTCGGGGCCAATTGTGTATCCCTTTGGAAAAGCCTGAAATTGGTTCTCTATTTCACACTATCCACTAAGCATAAACTAGCAGGGCATTACAGATCTGAATACGAAAAGCAGAACTATAAAGCCTTTGATAGATCCTCAGTTAGAACAACTCATTGTCCTAGGTGTCAATTAAAATCAACCCACCTATGTTGGTCAAAAGGTACACACCTTCAGGGGGTGGGTATAGCTCAGTGGTAAAGCACATGCTTAGCATGCACAAGGTCCTGGGTTCAATTCCTAGTACCTCCGATTGAAAAAAAAAAGATACACACCTTCAGTTATGAGATGAAAAATTCTGGGCACCTAATGAACAGCATGGTGACTATAGTTAATAATATATTATATACTTGAAATTCGCTGAGAGTAAATCTTAAATGTTCTCACTACAAAAAATGCCAACTATGCGAGGTGATGTATATGTTAAACAGCTTGGTTGTGGTAATCATTTTATAATGTGTAGGTGTGTTGAAGCATCACCTTGTACCTCTTAAGTATATATAATTTTTATTTGTCAGTTATCCCTCAATAAAGCTAGGGGGAAAAAAACAATCCACCAATGGTGGACACTCTGATGTGGTACCTAGATCCCCCTTCAAGCAAAGACGTGTGGCCCCAGCTTCCGGGAGCTCTGGGAGCGCAGTCCTCAACCATCAGTCCCTTCAGGGGTTGCTCCAGCCTCAGAGAGCCTCCTCGCACAAGGCCATGCCCTCCTAGGGCGGTCAACGCCCAGTCATTGACCCATATGGGGGGATAAAGGCCTGGCTACCCTCAGCCCAGCTCAGGAAATGTCTGATGAGCCAGCCTGTCTCTAGAGCTTTCCTGCATGTTCAGCCAAAGCTATCCTAGGGATTGCATGTAATAACTCAACTTGTCCCCCTGTCCATTCTGGCCTCTCTGCCTCCCCTCCACATGCACTGATACCAAGAACATTTCCAAAAAACAGTCTGCACACCAAACTCCATCACAGGGCCTGCTGGTTAGAGAACCTCGCCTGCGATACCACCTTCCCATCTTGCTGCCGATGCTGTCAGGCTTTAAAGGAAATGACAAACGCTGCAACTACTTGATCCGGTGGATGAGTCTTTGGCTTTAAGGTATACGATTTCAACAAACTTCTGTATATAATATAGTTGATATTGTATATCTAGAATACACCTCAAGTTGCAAAGCCTCAGCCTACTGTGAAACGTGTGCATTTTGAAGACATAAATGGGAAAAAAAATCCTTTAACTCAGCTTAGATTTCTATTAGTTTGTGCAAATACTAACACATTCAGATTCTTGGATTAAACCTGAAAATCTGCTAATTAATTATTTTTAAAAAAGGAGAGAGAGAGAGAGAAAGAAAGAAAAAAAGTGGTGCTCTAGAAATGTAAGGATATTATCTGAATTAAAACCTCACATTGAGGATGGGATGGGTTTTACCATCTTAGCCTTTTTTGTTTCTTATGCTTTAGCATGACATAAATTTTAAGAATTAATCTGAACAGAAATGTTTGATATAAGACTAAAATATTTGCATCTTTTTCCTTTTTAATTTTTATTTATTAATTTTTTAATGTATTTTATTTTATTTTATAACATTTTTAATTGAGTTATAGTCATTTTACAATGTTGCGTCAATTCCAGTGTAGAGCACAATTTTTCAATTATACATGAACATACATATATTCATTGTCACATTCTTTTTCACTGTGAGCTATCACAAGATCTTGTATATATTTCCCTGTGCTATACAGTATAACCTTGTTTATCTATTTTAATAGCAAACTTACAAGAACAGCACAGAAGACAGACAACATTAAAAACATGTACTTGCATGTAGGACAACTCAGTTAGAAAAGTATAGTGAATGGATGGAGTCTACTGTATGATAAAAATGCTGCAAACACCATTTAGTTGCCATCAATAAGAAATTTACTTGTTTTAAAAAAATCCAAATGCTGGCATTGTCCAGAAACATTTAACAGGTTTATTTATAATTGTTATAAAGTTGAACTGCTGAAACTTGTTCACTGAAACATTTTGACTTACATTAATGCTTTATGTCCCCGCATTTATATTAAAAATTCACACACAAATGAAAATGGAAAAACTGCCAATACCTGATTTCTGTCCCCTATTTCTCCACTTGGAATCATATACTTAGGTACCTTTTGACCCAATGGGAAAAAAAAAATCTAACGTTAAAAACTACCAATAACAGGAAGAGATTTTTTTTTTAAAGAATGAAATGTTTCCCATCATAGTGGATTCTGAAGCACGTTCTCCGTATGCGGCGTGCTAGCTGGATGCCTTACGGCATAATTGTTACACGTTTGGCATGGATAGCACACAGGTTGGTGGCTTCAAAAAGGCCAACCAGATAGGTCTCACTTGCCTCCTGCAAAGCACCAATAGCTGCCCATTGGGAGCGCAGATCTGTTCTGACGTCCTGAGCAATCTCCCGCACCAGACGCTGAAAGGGAAGTTCGCGAATCAGCAGTTCAGTGGACTTGTGATAACGTCTAAATTTCCGGAGGGCCGCGGTACCAGGCCGGTAACGATGAGGTTTCTTCACCCCTCCAGCAGAGGGCGCACTCTTGCGAGAGGCTTTTGTAGCCAGTTGCTTCCTGGGTGCTTTACCACCGGTCGATTTGCGGGCAGTCTATTTTGTATGAGCCGTGGTATAGAGACCCCCTTACTTACCCCTATATCTATATATAGACATATTTTTTCAGATTCTTTTCCATTATAGGTTATTACAAGATACTGAATATAGTTCCCTGTGCTCTACAGTAGGTCCTTGTTTATCTATTTTGTATACAGTAGTGTGTATCTGTTAATCCTAAACTCCTAATTTATCCCTGTCTTCAGAATTAGGGAGTACCATTTCTCATGGAAGCCTGAACTTTTAACAAGAAAAGATGAAAAGAAACCCACTCTTCTGTGGCATTCTTACAAGTTTTGGTACTGTGTGTTTTTAGCATCAATTAAAATTATTCTGTTACAATGCAAATTACATTGTTTTAGAAGCAAGATTAGGAATAAAGGAGTGGACACAGGTTTAGAGAGCTTGGCTAGGCCCTGGTGGGAAAAGCAGGTCTAGGTCCCCTCATTGTGTCCCTGGCAAGTTCGGCCTCGCCATCTTTAGAAGCAGAGAGGGAAGAAAGGGGGTCTGATTCTCCTCAGTTGTTCCAGTCTCATCTTTGCCAGCCTCTGCCTAGACTGATCCCAACTTTGGACACCTCACTCTACATTAATGCCTTTAGACATCTCTTTTTCCTTCTGCATTGGAGAAGGCTGCCCATGAGATAGAATGATGTTTAGACTGGAATTAGACATCATCTATAAAATTGTAAGGATTTTCAAGTGAGTGTGCATCTGTGAATGTCAAGAGTTGTTATTTTTTAGTGATTTCCCAAGGGAACACAGATAAGAAACATTTAAAATATTTTCCTTCCGTGCCCTTAGCTAACATCATCTTTGCTCATCTAGTTGTTGAGAACATGAATCAGAGACAAAACTGTTGTGTAATCTAGAGGAAAGAAATGTTCCCAGATTCTTATCCTTGAACGAGAAATATGGTATATTTAAGCTTCAGGAGTTGCCATAACAAAATACCACAGACTGGATGCCTTAAACGGCAGAAATTTATTTCTCACAATTCTGGAGGGTGGAAGTTTAAGATCAAGGTGCTGGCAAAGTAAATTTCATTCTGAGACCTCTTCTCTTGTCTTGTAGGCAGTTGCCATCTCACTGTGTACTCACATGACCTCTTCTTTTTTTTTTTTTTGCTG